ATCTTAAATATATTTTAAATTATTTATATTTAAAATAATATACTTATCTAGAATTTGATTATTTTTATCTGTAATTATTTTGATGTTTATTCATAATTTGAATGGTTTTTAAGAGTTTTTATCAAATACTTTATAATAGAGTATATATATATTCAACGTCTTATATTAATTTTCAATATATTAAAATAATTACATATACATATAATATTCTATTTATCTTAGAATATCTAAACCTTACCTTTGTATAGACAAAGAACGTAGAGATATTAGAGTTGATCATTTGTGGTCTTATGTCGAACCTAACCTATTTTTCATGTTCAATGAGTCTAAATATAACAAAACTCAAACCCTTTTTACGACTTGAATACTTGTCCTTACCGCCCTACGAATGAGTTAGACTTGCACATGGGTAACAGACCTAAAAATCTTCTTACATTTTTAAGAATAACAAAACTTATATAAAATCACAATTTACATAAAATAATTCATAACAATTTTTTCAATTTAAAATTGAATATAAATATATAACAATGTATATGATTTATAAAAACTTCTCGGAATATGAAGCATCAATTAAACAAAAGGAAATGACCAAAATAAAGGGAGTTAATTTCAAGGGGGAACTAGTCTAGAAAAGAACTTCATCTTGATATATGACAGACATCTATAAAACGAAACTTAAAGAGTCATTTACCAAACACTTAAGCGTTTCTGCAAAACCTTCTAAGACAGCAGCTCCATCTCTCTTTCTCTACAATTTCTTAGTGTATCTGCAAAACCTTCTAAGACTAGTTGTACCTATACCCCTCCTACTCCTTCCTTCAATGATCCCGACATCATCAATGTCGTCCTCTCGCCTATCAAAGAAAGAGACGAGAGAGGGCCATAGTGACAATGTAGTCTGAGTGGTGAATACGGGGTAAGAGAGGCCGTGCAATTGGGGGGAAGGGAGTTCGTGCAGCAACAGTTCACAAAATTCTTCCAAAAGTAACCAAGAAAAAGAAAAGAACAGTATATGGCAATAAAGTCGACAACGAATTATATGATAGCATAGAGGCTACCGTAAAGAGAGAAACCAAATATCAAGCATTTTCAGTTGTACGGAATTTCAAATAAGAAAGGAACAGGTTTACTGTCACATCTAATTTCTATGTCTATCATGGGCTTCCCCAGGTACGATTGAAATGAACCTGTGATCAGCTGGTGGAACCATTCTGTCCATCGGTATCCCTAAGCCCACTGCAACAGAAGAAATGAGGCAGCTTAACTCGGCCACAAACCCTGCAAGAACAATGTACAAGGTTCAAACCTCCTACCACCACATTCCACTCTTAGTCAAGGAAAAGCCAGAAATACAATCTAGAAGAAAATCCTAAGACATCAAAACCCCCCTATAAAATTAAATCAAAATTCTCAATGGCAGGATGTCAATCACCAAAAGAAGGCATAGTAAATATGAGAAATGATAATGGTTTGAAGTATCAGGCGAAAGCCGCATTCATAAGGTGTACCTACGGGTCAACACATTTGCATATCTTACATAAACTCTGCATCAATCCTCCATCCATGGAAAATTCAACGCCAAATTTTTGGTTGTATTCAGCAAGTCTCAAATTGTATATCTCAACCATAAGTGCAGGGTGGTGGGCTGGGGTGGAGTGTCTTCGAAGTTGGTTGTGTTACAGATAGGGAGTCTCTTGTTGTGCGTGGTCACTCTTGTTGCTTATTTGTGGTCTGTCTTTACCCCTTCTAGCTGTTATTTGTTTTTCTGTTAATCTACATTCATGTAGGATATAGTTGGTATGTTTGGTTTGGTTTACCTTATTATATTGTCTGCTTGCACACCATTGAATCGGGCACACACAATTGAATCGTTATTGTACCTGTTATATTTTCCAATTACCTGTTGCACACACCTTAGCATCATGCACAAGCTGGGGTCTCCATGGAAACAGCCTCTTAATCCTAGTGGTTGAGGTAAAGTCTGTGTGCATCCTACCCCTCCCAGACCCTACTTTCGAGTAGGATATATTGGGTTCTTTTGGCTTGGTTTAACCATAAGTGCAACAAGACATACTTACGCTCCAATACCATTGAATCGTCAATATCACTATTGTGGCATCATCACAAAAATCTTGTGTAACATTGTAGGACAGTAGGAGTAGAGTCAACAAACAGAATGTCTACAGTTGCAACTTACAATTACAAACACGTCTCTAATTTCAGAACCAAGGAAGCCATAATTGCTAGATAGAAAAACATATAACTCAAAAGGTGAAACAAAACAAATGTCTATAAATTTTAAGAGCAATACATCTTCTATATGATGAAAAACATAATCCACCATATACACATCAAAATCTTTATATAATAATATTCAAAATGCAGTTCAGGGGCTTACTTGCAACGGATGATCACTGGAATAGGTTTCAGAGCCTTTGGTCCATTTCTTATCCCACGTTTGTGAGGAGAAGTCTGCATGATTAAGAAAACATAAGAAAGCACAGCAGAACAAGAAATTAATAGATGCTACATACACAAAAAGAAAAACGAACTTGAGGAACTCAAGAGGACTCGTGTTTCAAATTGAATTAAAAAGACAAGCATGACGTTGAAACATAGCCCACATAGTATGGTGGATTTCAAGAGTTAACAGGTCAAGGGATCACTTTTGAAACAAGTAAACCATTTTCGTCACTAGGAAGTCAACTCATGAACTGCCTCCATAAAAATAGCAGCTAACAACGAATGTAAACGGCATGCCACTAACTGAAAATTCTAGCAGAGAAAAACCATTCTGGGGTTGGTCGCTCTTTGCAATTACCTCCATCTATTTCTCACTACCATTCTAATCAAAACATATTGAAAAATCTTAACCCATCTGTGGAGGGAAATGCAACCAAAGGTCACAGACCTGCCATCTTGCAATTGCACCGCACTAAGCCAACAAAATGGAAAAACGTATCAAGTTTTTATGCTTTTATAACTTCTTTCAGAATCTGTATCTAATTAACCATCCCAATGTATCATGGAGTTAGAAGCAAGGTATCTGAACTACAAGTTAACAGTAAAAGGGATCATACAATCATGCATAAATTTGGGGTTGGAGTGAATGTATAATTGAACAAATTTCCATTCAAATTCAGAATACTGGAACACAGAACTCCAAAAAACGTCATACAATCAACATCAATAGATTTTATTGGAAGCTATATTTCCACAAAACCTTAAACCCTAAAGCAACAAAGCTTAATATCAATAACCCAAACCTTCCAAACATCAAACTTAACGGTGACAAAATCTAACAGTGAAAAATGTAAAACATACAAATGCAATAAAAATCGACGAGGTTTAGGAAAAAGGGAAGAACTAAAAGAATTAAGTGATGTCAGATTCGAAATATACACCTTCTTCTTAGGTACGGCCATGAGCTCCATGGATCCGATGCCACCATAAAAACCGGACCCGATGTCATTAATGATTGTGTCTATGCTTCCTTCGGATTCAGGCAAAACCAACGGTGGTAATACGGCCGATTGGCTTATCGCGCTGTCCAGCGGCGGAGGCTGCGCGATTGCGTGAGTCCACCTTGTGAAGGCCACGATACACGAATCCTTGCTTTTGCTGGCGACGGTTCTCGCCATTGCCATCCTCAACAACGCCATTGTTGATCGTGTCCTGAGGTTACAGTGTTCGTCTGCGGGTGTTGGAGAGTGCTATCTAGGTTTATGTTTGGCATTTGGTGAATAGCTAAGCCGGATAAAGTTGTTCGTGTTTAGTAAAAACCGATAAATAAATTACATTGATAATGTAAAATTATTTTTAAAAAATAATTACATTTTTAGCTTACGTGGTTTTGTGAAATTCTCTTGATGTTAAGAAGTGTAAGAAAAAATCTAAATGATCATTTTAATCTCATGGTTACCCATGAATTGTGGTTTAGAAAGGAATTGATCTGATGATCTTGATGCACCTCATTAGCGTTGAAATTTAATTAAGATTGATATAAGGATGTAGATCTCTTCTTACGCTTGTTACCGTCACTCATTTTCTCATCAGAACCCAATCCTATAAAAAATATATATAAAAAATAAAACCGCACAAAAAGACATATCATGAAGATAGATTTAGAATAAAGAAACCGTATAAAAAAAATACAATGGTCCAAATCCGTAATTTAGTTTACTCTATTATGTTCATTTGTGTTTGTAAAATTACTATTGCTACTAGAGGTGTAAAAAACCCTACTACCTTGGCCAATCCAACCCGAAATAACCTAATCCAACCCAAAGCAATTTGATAGTTAATCAATTGTAAAATGTTCAAACGATATGCATTAGGTTGGAATTGAGTTAGGGCTATTTGAACTCAACACAACCCAATAAACCCGATGCCTTTTTATAATAGGATTTTAATACGATTGTTATATCCTTATTTAATATATGTATTTTACATTTTAGACTAGCTCGAAATTAACTCTACTTATAATTATATCACAATTTCAATTGCAATTTTACTTTTTTATTTGTATGAACCTTCAACTTTCATTTTTGAGTTTATTAGCCTTACTTGTATGTTCTCATTTTAATTTTACTTTGTTAAAACAAAATCGCTTAGCGAGATTGTAAAATGATGTACCAAAGTTTCGGTCCAACCAACCTAACTTAACCCACACACTGTAGATGGAGTGAGGTTGTACTTTTGTTTAAGTTGAGATTTTTCGAACTACAAATATTGTGTTTGGTTATTCAAATGTTTACACCTGACCAACCCAACTCATCCCATGTACATCCCTGTTACTACCCAAGATGAAAAACAAACCCCTAATTCTAAATCAATGGAATCCTGAAATTACCTCAAGCAATCTGACCGCCACCTAGGGCAATTTTTTTTAACACATGGCTAATCACATAGGCACAAATATCGGCTAATCACAAGTATTTCATATGATGTAAGAAGGTCGCGGTTTTTCCTTCCCTAATAGGATATTTACACTTATCACTGGTGGAACTTTCTTGGTATTATTTCAGTCCATATATAGAAGAACACGATTGTAGAATTTTGTAGTCCACAAGTTTTGAGTATAAAAGGGAGGGTTTTCCTTTTCTTGTTTATCTTGGTTACATTAACTAGGAGAAGAACATCCGAGTTGTAATGTTCAACTTCGTCTTAAAGCGATCACTCACTAGCATCACAAACTTACGTGTCCTAGAAAAGCCCCATTTCTTCACTTACAACTTTTTATGTCAAGTAAATTCGTCCATTCAAAGTTTTAGTAGTTAATTTTATCAAATACTTACCTGGTAACTGTTTACTGTTATAATTTGACATTATTATTTATTTATTGGGTAAGATTTTAGTTCACAAAAACAACATTATATACAACAATTTACACGGCTTACTATGTAAAGAGTCGTCGCCCTCACTTACTGGGTAAGACTCTTGGTCCTTGTTTCGTTCTTACCGGATAAAATTCTTGGTCCTTACCATATTCATCCGGTGACATAGTGTGACTTGGTAAAAGCTTACCCGGATAAGCGTTTGGTAAACGTCCTAAATTGATTAATCGGGTAGGTTAATATGAATACCCGGGGCACTAATTTGGGGCGGATCAGGTGAGTATCCGGCTATCCACACCTCTTTGACGGACTTTGTGGAGTTGGCAGCCCCAGCCCCTGTATTTTGGGTTATTGTTCGAAAGCCCTTGCTCTCATATCAAAGGTAATTTCTAGTACCTTAAATTGCTATTGTGAGCCTAAAGCGGAGAATGGAGATATTTTGGGATTTACCTGTTTATTTAAGGTAATTAAAGTGTTTAAAAATTTACCCTATTAATGCTAATTTAACATTTATAATTTGGATTTAGTGATATTAAGCAAGGTTTTAAATGACATGAGGTGTGGTGTGGCGGTGAGATCAAACTTTAGGAGTTACGACAAAGTCATGGCGTTTTCAAGGTTTATATTATAGTAAACAATTTAAATTATGTTATGTATTAAGAACCAGAAATAAGACATTAAGAAGGTATAAAAAAAATAATCAAATATCATGTTAAAAAAACTGCACATTAGGCTATGGTGTGCCACTGTGAGACACAAGTCTTAAGTCACGACATGCCATGACGACTGTTGCGATGAGCCTTATAGAACAATGATATTAAGGAAGGGATTCTTATATATACCTTAATTGATAAAATTGGAAGTAAGTTGTTAGTGTGACATTTGTGTCATGTGGTGACAGTTGGGCTTCGATAAGACTTGTGAAGTCATAATTGGACCCAGGAGTTATAACACTCGTTATGTTTTTTGGATTATTGATATGGGTGTCTTGTTATTCAAGTGGCGTAACAAGGTTAATTAATCTTGTGAGCATGGTTCTGGGACTTTGACCTATGTGAGTTCCTTATTCTACTTTTTTAAAACGACATAAATACTTTGTTGACAAATGTGCTTTTGAAATGATTATTTGTTATAAATGCACGCATGATGATTTATATTGATACTCATATCTGCATGAAATCTTGTGGTGTCACATATGTGTACCTGTGAATCGGCATCTTCAACAGTGGACATAATTGCTCCATGACATACTATAATGGTCTACATTGTAGAGTACATGGTACACAAGAATTTATATCTTGTTGTTAAGAAGATGCTCGGTCGAGAATATATTTTTGAGATATGTCGCTGAGTGAAATGTTGCGACCATTGTGCGGAGATAGTCAGGTGGGGAATGTGGTCCTATGAATCTACATTATTTTTGAATATTTGTTTTGATTTGCATATTTTGAAACTATTGTTATACAATTGTCTTCAAGGGATCATTTGAACTTTTGGTTTAACCCTCATTTCCAGAATCAGTACATCGTAAGTTGTTATCATGTTGAGAGTTCTACCAACAACTAAGGGAAGATGTAACATTGTAACCTCAAGGTGGTAGCTTGTGTAGGTATGGTTTGTGTTCAAGTCAGAAGGTCGAGTTGTCAGGCTTCTCCATAGTTCTCAGTTAGGGTTGTTCTATTGCTTTTCTGTCGCGGTCACTAAGTTAATCTTGTTACTGGGAGAGGTTGTTATTTTGGATCATTTGAAGTCATTGAGGCGACTTTGAATTTTGGTTTGTACATCAAACTCGATTGAAAAATATATTTCGAGTACTAAAATTAATCACTTGTTTTAAAATGGATAGATTGATTTTTTTGGATCACTGTATTTGTTGCAAATAAATTATGTCTGGCAAAATGCGAAAACAAATGAAAGAAAATATAATATGTTTCCAAGAATGCGTTATTCTGCGAAAAGAAGGTCAAGTATTACTTTTATTTTTCACTAAAAATCACATAATCTTTTCACAAAGCGAAGATCTTTACATATCTTGCTTCTTTACCCTTGAAGTGAACAAAAATTAGGTGCATCTTATCAGTCCTACTAGGGGTGTAAATGATGGGAGTTCAGTATACTCGACTCGAACTCGATAGCTATTTCTTAAGCTCGAACTCGACTCGAAAACTCGCGAGTAGCTAAAAACTAAATTAAACTCGAACTCGATTGCAATTTTTTTAAACTTGAGATCGAACTCATTTGAAGATCCAATCAAGCTTCGAACTCAAACTCGAATCAAGCTCAAAGTAAGCTCATCCTTTGAAATTTATAAAATTTTAGGGTCTTCTCTTATAAATTATAAACTTATAGATATTCTCTTTAATTTTATAAAACTAAACCGGTACACCTCAAACTTCATCATCAAAAAGACAAAGTTACAAACTTCATTCATCTCCTTTCTTTTTATACCACCTCTTCAACCTTCATTTACTATCCATCTTCCAACGTGAAACAACTTTACCAACACTTCTAAAGTTTTTTTTGGACTTTTCTAGTTATGATTTTAATAAGAAAAACAATTGATTAGTTTTTGTCATAAAAAAAATACACAATTTTGTTCAAATATCTAAAAATATAAAATTAATTATATATAAAAAAAATCAAGTATCTCACGAGCTTTTCGAGTTGAGTATTAAGTAGCTCGCCTCGACTCGTTAATATGTCTAGTCGAGTGTTGACTAAGCTTTAACCGAGTCGATCTCGAGTAGCTTGCGTGTTGTCTTATATCGTTACACCCGGTTTTGTATGAGATTTATTGGATTTGTTTGGTTTAACAAAATATGATCACATAACTGAATTTTATCATTAAGTAATTTTACAAAAAAACACCAAAATTGGAATAAATTCTTGAATGAAACCTTACCAAACAATCAGAAAATAATTCCAAATCCTTGGTTGGAGTTGGTTTTTGGGTACAAAGGAGTTAAATGTTACATTAACCATTACCACTGTTTGCTATTTATTTGAATCACTATTTGCTCATAAATATGATAATACTCATTCTCGTAATGAAATCAAATGCCATTTTGCCTTTGGTACTTGATGGACCACCATTACTTTTCTTACATTTTCTAATTATCATGTCTTCAAGTAAAAACTATTTACTACTTGCTATTTTCTTGTGGGGTAATTTTGGAAAAATAAAATTCTCTTGTGGCCGCAGAGGTTCAAATGCGGTGACTCCAGGCTATTTGCAAAGCAGGTGACCGTCTTGGGATTAATCAGTTCGCATAACGGGTTGGATATTCAAGTTAATTAAAAAAAATATAAATCTTGAAAATTATGAAACGATGAAATTTTTTAGAGTGAATTACACTTGTGATCCCTGTGGTTTGCTTATTTGGTCTCTGAAATTA